GTCAACAAATTACAGTACAAACAGTAAAAGCATAAATGTGAATCTTGTCCAGTCTCTTGCAATCAGACTCCCACATACACTAAGGTGTAACCTACAGTTTACAATAATTGTCATCAAAACTGTAGCCATAGTTTACATCAGAACATCCCTCCAGAGTACAGTTATATTGACAACATGACTAAGCAATTTGACTGTCTTATCCGTACACAATGACTCAAGGACTTGTCATTCTGATGGCACTGACATGTTCATTGACACAGATATTTATTTTTGAGAGATGAACGAAGGATTTTGAGCAAGAGACTGGCTTTTGCAGGTAATCCATGGTGTTTTGCTATTTGTACGAGTTGTTTTGAGAAATGTACTTACTGTTTTGCAAATGTCAAGGATGATTCGAGAAATGTACCAAAGCGACTGAGAAAAACTGTAATAGACAGAAGACTTAAGTGGGAAATCCTCGATGTGATTAGAATCATTCCATGAATTAGTTAGTTAGCATAGTAAGGAAAAACGTCTCAGGTTACTTATGTAACCATGGTTCCCTGCGTAGGGAACGAGACACTGCGTCCTCTAGGGGTCGCTATGGGGAATGCCTCGTCGTGACCCGTGTGTGAAGCATACATTGAAAAAACACCAACTCGTTGGCCAGCGACAGCCATGACGTCACTATCGGTGCGACTATAGTATAAATAGGCGCCAGGAGCTACACATCATTCACTTCTTCGTCTGAAGCTTGCGTCCGCAGTATGGCAAGAATCCTAGAGAACGCAGTGTCTCATTCCCTACTCAGGGAACCATGGTTACATACATAACCTGAGACGTTTCCTTTCATGGGAACTTCGAACTGCGTCCTCTAGGGGTCGCTATGGGGAACGGTATACCCATGCCACCATGCTGAGGGGAGTGCATGCCAGAACCATGGCGAGCACTAAGTACCAACTCTACCATATTGCTATGGGAGTCGTCCCTGGGAAGATGGGAGTCACCCCTGGGACGTTAGACGGCTGTCAGTGACGTTATTCCCTACAGCCAAAGGCCTAGGCTACATACCCCAAAATATGTACCTGTTAGGGCCAGAGTCCTGGGCCCGGGGTAGAGCTCAACGTTTCTCTTTGTATGTGCTGAAGGAACTGTCTCAACAGACCCTTAGTAGCAACACCCTGTTAAGTAGGTATCCAGAGGATACATAGGAGGAGTGGTGCCCAAGGCGGAACCGGGGTTTTAAACCACTCAAAACAAACCCAGCTCTCCCGAGAGGGGGCTCGACCTGCAGCATGATTGTAAAATCAGAAGGGTAAGCATACTGCAAGCTAGCCAAACACTCAGCGCATCAGGGAGGCAGAGGAAGGGCCTAATCCACCTGATGCTGCTGGTTCCAGGTGCTCTGGAAAAACAGAGAACTCAACTTGCCATGTGAGAGGAGAATTCCGAATTCAGAGGATAACGTTGCTCATTCCAGGAAACCCTTTGAAAAAAGAGGAGCTCTGCTCAAACTACCACGAGGACAGCCCATGGAGCGAGGCATCCAACTCCTTAGAGAGGATTAATGCTTGAAAGAAAGCACCATACTCAAAATAATCCTCCCTGGTGAGGGGAGCGATGCTTCCAGAGTATGTCAATAGAGACACACTAGTTGAGAGGAGCCCAAGAAACCGGGGTCTAACCAACTCAGAGAAAGGGAACGAGGTCAAAAATGCGTAACCCCTACCATACAGGATTTTAGAAAAGTGGGCAAAGCATAACGTGCACACTTACCACTTATGTGGATTTGTAGAAAAATGCGCAAAGCTTAACGTGCTGCACTTATTTTAGAGTTTTCCAAGAATCTGTTTACAGATACCCGGAAGTACTGAGCCAAACGGGAGAGGCAATCTCAAAACAACCCTCAAAGGTGAGGGGAGCACTGCCCGAGACAGCATTTACACAGGAAGGTTCTCGTAATGCTGCCTATGCCTCCCGCTCGATGCCTCAGCAAGAGGGGATATCCTGGTGATCGGGAAACCCCTCAGGGTGACCCAGATACGGTAGACCAGTCAGGGTAGCATGAAAGCGTAACCCCAGCCCAGACGTCCAGGAAATTTTTGCAGTGACGCGCCGTGGGCCTGTTGATCACGAAGGCTCCCGCAGAAGCCTGTGTTATGGCCGCAGGTCCCGGGAAACACTGCAAAGAAACTAGCAGAAGGGTTATACACACAACCACCAGTCTCATTAGATACACATATATATTCATATATACATACATTAGACATGGATCGTACTCACCCACCACGGTTCCCGCATCGGAGCTCTGTCCGGAGAAGCCTCTAGACCGGACCATCAGTAAGATGGTCACTATGAAGCCATAGAACCA